TGAAATTTGTAAAAACTTGCTTAGGCTAAACAGCAGACTGAAAAATCCACAGAGGATTACAATACGAACTTGCAAAAATTACAAGTAACAAAATTTGTGGATTCAGAGAATTTACAAAAAAAAAGCCTCAAAAACTAAGTGTTCCTCTATTCAAACTAGCACAAAGAATAACATGTTGCCAAATTACTCCTTCAGCGTGTAGTAAGGGACCGAGAAAAGCTTCTAAAATGTAACCAAGAGTAACTCTTCATCCTCGTTTCTTTGAAAATGTGCATAAAATTCAAGCAAGTGCACACCTGATCACCAGCAAAAGCAGTCCCGTAATGAAATCTACCCGATAACACTGCATTCTTGCCACTAAGTAATTCCATCAACTTCCCGACAGTCATGCGACTCGGATAACCGTGCGGATTCATAATCATGTCCGGGCATATACCCTGATCGTTGAAAGGCAGATCTTCCTTAAAAATGACTGACGCTGTTTCTTTGGAATGTCATATTATTGGCACTCACTCGATTATGCTTCTACAAAAACTGCCATCTGCCCACTGATACTGATGAACTGTACTGCACTACCGGATATCTGCTGTCCGTCATGCCACTGTAAACTACAGTACCATCATGACTGCACAAAGCCCAGTTTAAATTTTGAAGACAGCAAATTCTCGCCCACAGGAAAATTTCATTCGTAATTTAAGCAACTCCAACAATTGAATATCAGGACCAGCCCCAATATACTCAGACCCTGACAGCTGAAAATACTTGGTTAGCGCCAAGCAGTAACAGGAAAACAACATTTTCACCATGCTTCAATGGTAATAAACAGAGAGCAGTAAAACGGCGTTTCACTAGGAGCGTGCTGTAGCGCGCAACGTTAGAACACATCATTTGTTCTCGGCCTGCTCCAGCAAGACAATTTAAAGACTTTTTTGAAAAAAAAATGACTGAGGGTACTGAGAGATTGTCCTAAGAAAATCAAAAAATATGCAGGGATTCGTTGTACTTTGATAACAGCAGAGAGCTAAGCCACACTGAATGCACAATTGGAAAACTGTTTAAGCAACT